TTTGCATGAAAATACAAAAACAAAAAACTTAAGGGTTGTTTTATAACCGTTTCTTTTTCATTTTTCCTTTTTTATTTATCTATAAAACTAGAACTATGTTTGGTAACCGATTTCGTTTTTAGTTTTCAAAATCACCCTTAGTTTGGAAAACAACTTGAAAGTGTTTTCCTTTTCTTTCTTTTTTTGTCCCTTTTCATCCACTAATTTTACATCACCGCAAATGAAATGCACTCCAGTTCCTAGAACTCGATATTTGGGACCTCTGGACTTGGATCTGACCGCTCGATTCTTGCATTCGGCCACAAATCCACGCCAAGTCTCGGGACCTTTAGATTCAAAATTCACCAAAAAAATCATCCTAATTCCAAAAAGTTCACTGAAAAATACTACAAACTCTTTGTAACATACATCTATGATCTCAAATTCATACTTCGACCCCAAAAATTCTATTTTCAAGTTCCACATAAAACTGAAAACTGAAATCAGTTACCAAACAACTTTTGTTTAGTTTTATGTTTCCTTGAAAATTAGAATTAGTTACCGAACAAGTTTTAAGTTTAAAAAAAAATAATAACTAAAAACTAAATGGTTATCAAACGAACCTTAATTAACTGAAAGGTCTGCCGTTAGCAAACCCATTTAAAATTCTGGCTATAGAGACAATCCAAACTCATTAGTCTTTGTCATGGAGCTAGCATCTTCGAAATCCAAAGGTCCGCATAGTAGTTAAACAAAGGACACAATTTCCTCTTCACCGAGCACTCTAATCAAGAACTAGTTCTTCTTTTTTTTGGACGAAGATCAAGAACTAGTTCTTGTTGTCAAACCAGCTCATTGATCACATTAGAAGAGTAGAATGCGACCCATCTTAATTCTAACTCAGTTTCTCTCATTCCCTTATTACTTGTAACCCCAAAGGATTTTAGTTCATTATTTCATGTACAGAAACAATGTTAAAATAGTTTACTAAAAAGATTCACCATATAGCATATAGTTAAGTACAATAATTTTTCCTGAACACATATTTTACATAAATGTGCTATAATATAAGAGGATTCCAGTTAAGCCGACATATATATATTTGAAAATAAGTGATAGTATATTATTGATTAGCAAACAAAACGCATCTTCTCCAGTGACCAAACACAACATATATTGTATTGATATGGAGAGAATCATGCACAATCCCAACAATGACTAAATCCTCGATCCAGCAACCGAAAACACATATACTCATACCTACAATACAAATCCGCCGCGCAATGGCAGAAACAACATATACACTGGGCACACAACATATAGTTTTTCACATATTTGTAATAGAGAGATATAGCAGGTGAGTAGGCTAATTAATATCATATCTTCATAGCTTAGAAATATTAAACTTGGAAAACAAGTCTACAGTTAACGTACACAGATTCATTCCCTCCTCCAAACTTGGCTAAGAAACTTCAATTTTCAGTTACGACAATCACTACCAAAGAAGAAGAAGGATATCCTCATTTGATAGGGAAACTAATTATTGAATTTCTAGTTGTACCATCTTTTTATAATAGCGGTTCTCATGGCCTCCTCACTTGTGAATCCATGAGGAACTCTAGCCACAACATCTTGAAGCATCATTTCTTTCACGCTTGATATGCTTGCATGATAAACTTGTAATTCAAGGTCTTTTAGTGCATTCATCAATCTAGCATATGGGTAATTCTGATCCGGACTCTGAACTCGTATCATAGCTTCTGAGCCCACAATCTTCACATCCACTTCTATTGCCCCAGCTACTTCACAATTAGTATAACTTGATGCTGGCCTAGGCCTTGCTTGATGATGATGATGGTGACGATGATGATCGACTATGGAACTGGCACTTTGGTTGGATTGATGATGCTCAAGATTACTCAAAATACCTAATTTCGGTTTCTGGGGTTGTTG